TCTCTATTAGAACGACACTACATACAAATAGGACATTATCAGTATGGGTCTGCCAAAACACCAGAGAACTACCAGAACTCTAAGAGCTGTAGTACTATCTTAACAGGCATAAAAATGCTACATCAGCATTTAGCAGCAGCTCCACATTAATTTCCTTTATCCAAACTCAATCAGTTCAAAACTGAGAAATCAATAAAGCTAAGACAACTCAAGAAGTTTTCTATTTTAGTTTACAAATTAAAAGAAAGATGCAAGCAGAGCCTTGCAGCTCTAAAAATAACAAGGAATAGTGAAACCAAAAAAACCAGGCAGGTCCATTCCTCAGCTGAAGAGACATCTTTTGTTTATTCAGTCTGTCTTAAATCATAAACCACACACCTATTAAACTTACTCTAAGTCCACAAAATCAAATTGAACCGATCTGAGTGATTCCACATTCTTTAAAACTCTGTCTAATATGCCTTCATCTAATGCACCTTGATACAAATAGACTAAAGCAAGTAAAACAAATAAAACCTCTTGCAAACCTTTGTAACTGCATGTTAACATAAAGCAAGACTAGAAGTCAGAGCTCTGTGGTCACACGTGACGGGGCATGCATCCTGCCAAACCCTGCCAACAGGATTTGAGAGAGTGAGCAGGGAAGAAAATGGGAGCAGAGGGAATATACCATAGCACTCTGCCCCTCTTGGGCAGATAGATTAACTGCATACCCCCTACACACCAACCAAAACTTTTGACAGTATTTGTTAAAAATGAAAACAAGTTTTTATGAGAATTTCCCCTGGCATTTAAACGGTTTCAACAGTATTTCTATCATCATTTTCTGTTTGCCAGTGAAAAGCAAGGGTTTTAAACTGCCCTAATCATAAAGCAGGCTGATTCCCACCACAGCTGCTGTCCTTTTTGCCCTCCCTCATCTTTTTCCTGCCAAGAAGTTTCTGTTCTTTTCCCGTACTAAACCCAGCCTGAGTTAGTCCATTCCCAGGCTGAAAAACTACAAACAAATTTCACTCTGTAAAGTCATCACAGAACAGCTACAGCAACAGCGTCTGAGCAGGAACCTCAACCCTCATACGTGCAAATTCTCACCTCTGCCTTTCTGCAGGTTAAATCCAACTGTGTATGTTTCCCCAAAGTGATACATGATTAAAACAGAGTAAAACCAAAGGCTGATGGTCCCATTACACGTGAATGAATAAAACAAAAGAACAGCCATACTGAATCAAGCCAGAAGTCCACCTATTCCAGCATCCAGTCTGGCAGGACACTTCACTATATTCCACCTTCCCCATGATATCTGGGGATGCATTTCAGAAGGCACACTGAACTTTGCCACTACTGCCAAAGAGATACAGACATATTCCTGAAGAGAAAATGCACCAGTTCCATAAACTGTCTGCCAAAACAATGTGAATCTACACAGCAGCAGCAGGACCAGGACAGCACGCATAGCCTGAGGAAGCAAGAACTGTCTTCCAGTGAGACCGTCTTATCTTCTAAAGAGAAAGAAAATGCACCCAAGCACTGTCCCAAATCAGAACTTAGTAAGGAGGATTCTATCTACACAAAGGATTAAAAAAAAAATTTAGTCAAACTACATGCACTCTCTGGGAACTGTCAGTGAGCCAGAGAAATGGGAAAGGTGAAAAGTTTTTATCAACCTGTGCCAGCCTAAGCTGTGACAGCTGCGTCCCTCTCACCACGTTCCTACCCTCTCTCAAGCAAACATTCACACTCATACAACCACATGGTGTGACACTTCAGAGAGCTGAGCCAGCTGAAAGGTAACCTACCAGAAAAATCTATCTTTTTTTTTTTTCAAAATTAACTCTCTGTGCTGACTTGCTGCTCGGTCACACAGGCAGAGGAAGACACGCCTAGAGTCATGGAAGCCCCAAACCATACTGGCTCAAGCTGCCGCAGAACTGTAGCATGGAGGAACTGCTAACCAACACTGCAAACAAGAGCGTGGCATTAAGTGTAATTCCAGCCTGCAGAGCAATAGATCACACTCCTTACAGTCCAGTCACCCTGGCATCCACTGTGATATATCAGGATGGCCTGAGGGACTATTTCACAAGCCATCTCTCACATCCCCCTTTCCCTTTGCAGGAGTTTGTTTGACTAAAGATAATGGGAACAACCAGGCTGCCACCTGCAGAGGACAGAAACTGAGTTTAGCTCTTTTAATAGAACTTCACATGTGCGTATTTCCAGAGCAAGAGGAGAAGCCAACGTTGAGACTTTGGAGTAGTATATTACTTTCTCTTTTCTGAACTCCAGCAGAGGTCCTCAGTCCCTGCACGGCCACAGCACTGGCACTGCTCTGGGACACAGCACCCTTTTTAAAGGGAGCCTCTTGAAAGCCAAGAATGCCTGCTATGAAACAGTTATTTGTACTGAGCTTTAGCACAGTCAGGTGACAAAAACCCCATGGCTTTGTATTTAAAAACCTTCAACTGATGCTTCCTCTTGCACAGAAGCTCACCCACAGTCTTTTAACTGACCCTCACTTCTTTCCTGGACAGCTTTCCAAACAGAAAGGGCACAAGGAGCAGCCTCACAGGGCCATAGCGTAACCACCCACCCAGAGAAGCCCGCTCCTCTCTGCTCCAGCTGCACAGAGCTGGAGCTTGGGCTGGGTCTGAGCAGACCCCCAGCAGTGTGAAACTCCGGAGCAGCGATGTTCCAGGAGCTTCCTGGAGCCCTCATTCCTCTGAATGCATTGGATTGCTGGGAATGCTGGAGGGCAGGAGATGCTTTGGCAAGCAGTTATTTCTGGAGCAGGCAACCTCTGCTCGCTTCTTGGGCCGGGTTATGCCCTTAGGATGGGCCTTTTCCTCCACCTGCTCTCCAAAATCCAGACCCTCTACAGCCTGGGAACTGGGACAGGGGTGATGTGACACGTTGACATCTTCCTAGCAGCCTTCCAGGTGGATAACGTCAACATGTGAGTCTCATTGAAATGCATCTCCCAGAGGCCTCCTCCCAAATGCCGCTCTTGACTCATTAATATGCGTTGACACCTCCGTTAACCTTACTCCACTCCTGCCCCTCCTTCAGCCTGCACGTGCTGGGGAAGGAGGAGGGGCAACGGGTGTTATTTTTCAGCAAGATTCATTGAGAAATAGGGACAATCTGACACCACAACACATTTCCCCGTGCATCCCTTGCAGCGAAACATGACATTAAAATGGGAAGTGGCAAGCACGTGATGGCATGGGCGCTTCAGGAATGGCAGCTGGGTGCCTGTCCCCATTGTCTCCTGCCATCTGGCTAAGGGACCGAGTCACTTAATCGCTCCATACGGCGTGCACCCTAGCCCCGACTAAGTACAGCCGATCATTCCTAAATATAGCCTTGCTTTTCGGCTGCTCCACTCGCTCGGGCCAGGAGTTGTCAGCAGAGGAGAAAGTGCTGCCAGCCCGGGTGCTGTGGAGTTGGCGTGGCTGGGACAGTTGGAGCACCCCAGGGATAGACGAGCATGATCCACGGACACCGCCGGAGTCATCAGCCGGATTTGGACGGGGCATTAACTAGCAACAAAAGCGATGCAGGGGCCCAGGTTTAAACTGCGGGACCACGCAGCTGAGGCAGGATGGTTATCATCACGCTGTTCCGGGTCTGTGCATTGACAGTAGATGCCACGGATGTTATCACAGCGGGAAGAAACGTAACACATTTCAGTTAAAAGAGGTAATTTCTAGCACAAGCTGTTCCTGTTAGGCCTCCTCAGCTGGGCAAGGCCCTGTCTATACTCGAAAGCGAGGCAAGGGTTGGTGCTGGCACGGCTATCTTGGAGCACGAAAATGAGGATACGCCAAGAGACAAAGCCTCCTCCTGGAGGCCAGGCCAGCGCGGAAGGCGATAACAAATTAAAAGGGGTGAGTAAAGAGCATGAAAGCCCAGGACAGTGCAGTGCCCTCTGCTGCTCCTGAGAGTGAGCAGGGTTTGGCTCGTCTCCCCACGCCATGGGGACTTCCCAGGAAAATAAATATTCCCTCGGCAGCCGGGCAGCGGATGCAGCAGGGACAGGGCTCTGACTGCCTGCGTGTTTCTGTGCCAGAAGTTTTGTGCATTCCAGTGGCAGAGGTTCCACCAACTGGCATCAGCAGAGGGCAGAGGCACCATTTGGGCCTGGCAGTGGCAGCTGGTGGAAGGGAGGGATCGTGGGTGCAGCCACATCACAGCATGTGTTCTCACACCCATGGGGAGCTGCTTTGGTGCCTTGACTCTGGGAAAGTTTTTCTTCCAGAGTTTCACCCCTTGGGCACCTTTATTTGCTTGAGCAAATCCCTTTGTGTCTGGTACTGCAGGCCCGGAGCTAGGCACCCCCAGCTGTCGGCGGGGCGGGCTCTGCAGCACCCTCTGCACTCCCAGCAGCCGAGCGGTAGCCCAGTGGCTGGGGGTGGGCTGTGGGGGGGAAAAAGCGCCCTGTCCCC